GTAAAAATTGTTGCGTGTAATATAAAAGTTTTTTTTTTTTTGAAAAAAGATTAAATAATAATTTTTAGAGCCACCGTACTATAGCAAATACAACTGTAAAATGAAAATTTACACTAGAAATTTTGAAAAGCAGCAAAAACATGCATATCCAAACAAAGCTGTGGCAGTGGAATGAAAAGCAATACAATGAGAAAGCGACGCCAAACAGACCCAAACCACAATATTCAATATTTCGGCTCAAGATGTGTTTTGAAAATTTAAATCATTTTGTTTGTTGTATTCTCCTTATAAAGAGAATGCCATCTTTATGTTTTCTTATTTTTTTGTTTTTTTGAACACCATCTTTATGTCAGATATGAGACATTAGTGTTACAAAACTTCACAATCAAACCACATCAAGATCAATGGCACAACAGCAGCATGGCATATCCATCTATAGGGTAAAGATGCATAAATTCATGGCGTGCTTTGTATGACTCTTTTGTTAATGTTATTTTTACTCTCGCAAGTTAGATTTTCCATATTCCCAACTTCATCAAGGGTGAAAATATATTTGACGGTAATTATCAAAAACGCTTAGTCCAGCTTTTTTCAGAATCAAAATCAAAAGAAGATTCGTCATAATAATAAATTGAATATGTGAATAAAATCATATAAACCTTGCCCTTTCCAGCCTGGAACTCTGATCTTAACTTCGAATGGTCCCTAGATAGCAGATAAGTGCACAAAGCTTCAGCGAACTTGTTATTTCCTGAAATCAGCTCAAAACAAAACGTGTTCAGAAACGTCTGCATACTACAAACTGAATGGCAAAAAAAAAACTTATGGAACTTTACATGCTTACAATATAATTCTTATGTATTAACATATCTTTCACCAAAAGTTTGATATTTACACTTAATAATGACACCTTGGTGTCATAAACCTATGCATTAAAAGATGTATTTCATTTTTAGAAAGGTAGTGATGGCATCACTTATGTGATGTTAAAGAATTGAGTTTCATGAATGTAAATATGAATGTTTAAGTGTTAGAAATGTATATTTATAAGAATTATGTGGTATGTATGTAAATGTCCCAAAACTTTAATCAGAGAAACAAATGAAATCACCAGAAAATAATTTAACAATGTCTTCTAAAAGAAACATCAAAGTAGGCTTTGTGATTGTGATGGCAAATGAAAAACCAGAAACTCCATGTACTTCCTCACGGCAGAAAATAACCTGACAAGGAAATCAAATTAATAAGGACAATGCAATAATAATACTCAGACATATCTGATGATGATATTACAATAGAAAAACATGAAATAAAAAACAATGAGAGGACAATAATGTTGAGATTTAAGGAGATTAAATTAGTTTTCATTTTTTTCCTTCGGTTGTGGTTGTGGTTGTGAAAGAGGCTGTGGGGAGCCTTCAGATACTTACAGCATCTTTAGAAATCATTGTGTGATGAAGCAAAGGTGAACCCAGGGTGTTTCTAATGTATTGGTCCTACAGAATAGGAAAAGAGGAAGATAGAACAATTCACATATTCAGTATTAAGATTCAATACTTGAATAACAATATATATAAAAAATCAAACCTTCAACTTCCAAAAGAACAAAAAATGATACCTGTGACTTCACAATGTTTTCTAAAGCAATTTTGTCCTCATCCAATGACTCGTAGAAAAACTCCACAAAATCAGTGGGTTCTAAACCGGCCTTTTTTCTTAGTTTCTGGACCCTATTAATCACCTGAATGAACAAGAAATAGCAGGTTTCGGAGCATCTAATTAAAAGAACTCATTGAAAATATCAATTTATAACTAGACAGTCTAAAGTGGTGGCAATTTAACAAGTAGCCGGCTCATTCTGCACAGTAGATGAGCAGAAGCTAGAGCTGGCCAAGCTACCACACTAGTTATTACATAAAAACCTCCAAAAAGCTTTCATTTGAAAAAAAAAAATTCCAAAAAAGAAAAAGGTTCCCGCTTCCAATTTTGATTCCATTGAAGAAACTGTAAGAAAAAAAATTGTAAAAGAATGCAATTTGAAAGCTAATGAACTTTTTTGAGATGAATGCAATATGTGACTAATCACTCTATACTTGTATTGCAACAGTCTCACATCAATCTCATAGAAAATTTAAAGATTTTGAAATCAATCATGGATAGACAAACGGTCAGGGTACATGAACCGAATATTTGATAAAATTGGTTAAACTCAAAAATAGCTCTTTGAATACTTGTATGTGGCCAATCTAGTTCCAAGTGTCACATTTCTATAATGTAGATCCTCAACAATAAAAAAATGATCCAAGAAAATATCTAAAAGGATAAATTGGGATCACATTTGTATGAACGAGGAGCTAAAATGGGATCAATATCGAATTTAGATTTTCATACGAGCGGTTATTTTGGATCAATTTTATAAATTCAATGCATTAAATTTGAGAAATGTAATTCTCCAAAACTAGATTAGCCGCAAATGAATCATGAGGGGACTATTTTGGAACTTAATAAATCTTTCGCAAAATTATAATGTAAGAAATCTCATTTTGTGTCCACAAATTAAAGTGAAATGGGTGTGAACCAAACATTAAAAACAATCAATAAATCTAAAATCACAGACTATAGAGAAAACAAACTCAAATAACCCTCCCTCGTAGCTTGACATTACCTCACGTGCAATCCCAGCCTCATACAAGGATTCATCAGCACGCAGATCCAATATCACAAGGACATCACCTAAAAAATAAAGTAAATAATATGCACAAATAACATCTAATTTTCTCTGATGTTGAAAAAGAAAATCTAATTACCATCCCCTGCAGCATCCATTTCTTCCTTTGTAATGTTGGCAGGTCTCTGGAATTCCCGCAGAACCTGTAGCACAAGTGACCGCACAAGTATTATTTCTTTCCGAAATTATAGGTTCTAGGAACAATAAAATAAAAATGAGTTGAATCTTGGGGACAACATTCAGTACATTTCTGCAGATTTAAAGATAATGTTCAAGGTGATGAATGTAGCCTTCAAAATATTACAGCATATATTTATAATTGCTAATTATTGATAATGTTCCAGGTATGCGATGATGTTATATTCATTATTCATTTTATATACAAAACTTTGTAAGGCTCGCAACATATGCACAGATCAGACACTTTTTAATGCATGATGTTATATTCATTATGGATTTTAAGATGAAATACAATTAATTGACTTAGAACACACAAATGTAAACATTAAGTGGCTGTTGGGATCACCTTTTATTTTGTTTTTTTTATTTACATTTTTAATTTGTTTTATTTATGTTCTTACATGAAATAAAAAATGTTTAATTGTTTTTAAAAATATACTACAAACTGAATGGCA